AAGAATCACACTTAGTGACTGCAGTCACTGTCTCCACATTAAAAATGTGCCACCTGAATAAACCAGGATGGTCACAGAATGAAGCCCTGACCAGCAGCAGGGGCACACACTGTCCCAGGGACTGGCTTAGTTTGCCTTCTTTCCAGATTCACTATTTGGGGGCTATTTCCTGTAGCTTTACCTATGAACTGTCCCAGTCTGTAGGCAGGATACTCTTAACATGTAAGTAAAAACTGAATTTTATTTCACAATAACCACCTCATCTTCCCCAAATAGAGTACTTGACTCTATTCCTCATCCATGTTTTAAAAAGTTAAATGCAAATTTGCTTCCATTTTTATTAAAGTTTTGTTTTTCTAAGGACTATATTACACTTAAAGTTCAATACCGTAAATCTTTTACTTATTAAAGATGTAAACATGATTCATTGCTCCCTCTCCAACCCTGACCCAATTATAAAATGAAAAAACAATTCAAGTTCTTTCTTCCAAACAAACAGCACAGACTTCTCTAAAGCACGTTAGTCTTCCTGAGCAGCAAGGCCAACACAGGAAGAACTAGCCTCGCCCCTGTGAAGTGGGCTGGGACTGAAGTCCATTTCCTCCTGCCAGGGCCACTTACCAGTCTTCAGAGGCTAGTTCTCCACTGTTCATTCGGTGTCCATGTACACAGCCTGGGCAAGGCATCAAACCCAGGACAGTAAGCATGCAATCTGGAAACTCCAGGAGGCCCAGCAATGCCAGCAGAGACCTAGACCTGCTCAGGAGTATAGTCATCTACTTGCTTTACTCATGGCCTCAATCACTAAGTCCTTTGGGGAGGTTGAGGTGGGGCATTGAGGCTGTGTTTCTCTCTGTAGCCCAGGCTGGTTTTGAAATCATGATCCTCCTGCCTTCACCTCCTGAGTCCTGGTATTACAGGCATGGCCACCAGTAAGTCCAATATTAAGGGAACACTGACAAAATTTTATGAATACTCTGACCTATTTATGTATCCTCCTAAAACGATTTAAACCTTATAAAATTATGTTTTAACTTCAAATTTTGATAAATTTAAAGCCAACCAAGGCTAAAAACTAATATTAAGCATAATTTATAACATTTTTTTGAGTGTCAGTTTGATGTTAAAAATATAAGAATCCTATAGGAAAAAAGTAAGGGTCACCAAGAGGATGTTTTGCAGACAATTAAGAGGAATCTACATTAAGACTAGTAAACCGCTTGCCAGCTCCTTCAAAGCTCCTGCTCAAGGCTCCTGATGTGGCTTTGCTTCCTTCTCAATCTGTTCCTGAAAACCTGAGATAATCACTTGGTGTTTTTGACAACTGGGACCTTAAAACACTCAAAATGAACTTAAGTCTGAACTGAATATCGAGGTAGTCAGTTTTTATACACTTGACCTTTCTGGGTCAGGAAGGGCCCAGAATCTACTGTCCCCAGATCAGCTGCCCCTGTTCATTTCTCCTCCATATCACCTCCATCATGGACACAACCTGCTTGGCCTCTTACACGGTCACTGGTTTTGTTCTGGCGATATGGAAGGGCTAACTTGCTACAGAACACCAGCATTTAGACCATTTCAAATTCTTCAGTTCATAGTTTATTTCTACATTGCTAATTCCGTATCAAATCTAGGATTTTCAGTCACTGTTTCTGAAACGTGACTGAAATGAGCTGCTGAAAGTTTTCAGAGATTGAGTTTTGATGAGTACACGAGGCAGAATCAGTGACAGGTGACCTTGCTCAGGCTTTGCTGAAGAAGGGACAGCAGTGTGGCCAGTTACCCAGGAGTTCAGTATTTGACACCACACTGCATTAAGTTTCATATTGGTGCAGAGAAAACACTGGGATACCAGATTCCAAGCTCAATAAATATATATACAAAAGCCATCATCTATAATATTTTCTCCAGAAAGTCATTAGTGCAAATATATTAATTAAAAAATAAAGCAAAAATATATTTCAAGTATAAAAAGCACCACGCTTGGAAATATTACCTAGGTGGTATTACCACACAACAGTCAAAACATAGTCAAACCTATCATCGTGACTCAAATATACTTCATTGTCTTTTTGGTGAAATTCTTTGTACAATTTTGCAGGATGATTCATAACAATAACAGGTATGTAAGTTTATTGTGTATTTTTTTTCCTTTTTTTTGAGAGAAAGCCCTGGCTGATCTGAAATTCTGTGTAGATCAGGCAGGCTTCCATCTCAGAGATCCATCAGTGTGTCTCTGCCTCCCGAGTGCTAGGATTAAAATGTGCACCACCATACCTGGCATATTGTTATTTCTTTAAAAATATACTCTTCACTTTTCTCTGACCTTATAAAACTTAAATAAGCATAACACTGGTAGAGTGCCGACCACAGGCCTGTAGACTATTAGTTCTCTTTAGCTGAAGTTGACTGTTTAGGACTCTCCGCTTTCACAATGACAAATATCTCCAACTTACGCTGCATGCAAGTACCTATTTAAGTTTCTATCTTTTTTTTTAAAGTGGCTTTCCGGCCGGGCGTGGTGGCACACACCTTTAGTCCCAGTACTCAGGAGGCAGAGGCAGGAGGATCTCTGTGAGTTCAAGGCCAGCCTGGTCTCCATGGTGAGTTCCAGGCCAGCTGGGGCTGCAGGGAGACCCTGTCTCAAAGAGACAAAAAAAAAAAGTCTTTCCTTTTTCCTTTTTTCTGAGGCTGCCACTCTGCTGCAGCTCCACAGTTGGCTGGAATGACTCCCTAATACTTGGGGTGCTCTGCTTATCTGCAAAGATTTCCTTTTCTCTCCTTCCCCTTACAAGACAGGGTCTCATTATAGCCAATACTGGCTACAAACTCAAATTCCCTATGTAGCTGAAGATGATCTTGAACTCATGATCCTTCTGGCCTCTTCCCAAGAGCTGGGACTACAGGCCACCATGCCCAGTTTCACTTGCATTATCTCTTTTTTAAATGATATTTTATTATTTTTATTTTTTGGGTATGAGTGTATCGCCTGCGTGTCCATAGGAGCACCCATGTCGTGCAATGCCCACAGAGGTAAGAAGACGGTGTCGGATTTCCCCGGAACTGGAGTTACAGATGGTTGTTAGCCACCATGTGGGTGCTGGGAACTGAGCCTGGGTCCTCTGCAAGAGCAGCTGGTACTCTTAACCACTGAGCCATCTCTCCAGCCCGACTTGCACTGTTTCTTAAACAGAGTATTCAATAAATATAAGCTGAATGGAAGGGAGAAAGAAAGATATATGTTTAAATGTTATGTTTTTTATTTTATTTTTTGGTCTTTTTGAGACAGGGTCTCCCTGTAGCCCCAGTTGTCCTAGAACTCAGTATGTAGACCAGGCTGGTCTTGAACTCACAGAGATCCGTGTGCCACCATGCCCAGCAATTTTTATTTTTTTTAATTTTATTTATTATTTATTTTATGTGTATGCGTGTATTGCCTACATGTAGGTAAGGGCATCCGTACTGTGTGTTTAATTTTTAAAGTTTTGACACTGTGTGTATATGCACTTGCAAATGCATGTCACAGCATGTGTGTAGAAGTACGAAAACAACTTTGAGGAGTCAGTTCCTTTTTTTTCTACTATGTGGTTCCTGGGGATTAAACTCAGGTCATTGAGCTTAATGGCAAATGACTTTACCCACTACTGGCCCTAAATGCTGTATGTATAATGCTACATCAACTTAGTCTCTTTAGGGAGAAAATTGAGACATTATTCCTCATTAAAGAATGTGAAAGTTGAATTAATTAGAGGAGTGGTAAAGGCTGATACCAGAGTAGAATTGCTTCACAAATCCATGCAGTAAAAGAAGTGTGAAACACAGGAGGTAACAGACACTGAAAGCCAAGGCAATCTGCTAACTTCTGTGACTGAGTCACAAGAGGACAATAGTAGACAAGCTGTATGCCAAACCTACACTTTGCTATTAGTAAATAATTCAGACCATCTTGTTTTGACTTGAGTTTCTCCTTTTGTTCATAAAATAACTCAGATATTAGAAATTCTTCTGATACTTCCTTAGTCCACTTGGAGATATATCTTCATACCTGTCTACATTTGAATTTTAAAATCTACATTGGCCACAAAGAATTGTTGGTTTGGGGTTGATTAGAGTTATTAAAAAAATATTAACTCAAGCCGGGCATGGTGGCGCACGCCTTTAATCCCAGCACTTGGGAGGCAGAGGCAGGTGGATCTCAGAGAGTTCAAGGCCAGCCTGGTCTACATAGTGAGTTCCAGGATAGCTGGGGCTACAGGGAGACTCTGTCTCAAAAAGACCGAAAAAAAAAAAAAAATTAACTCAAGAACATACTTACAGTTATGCTTTCTACTGTCTGCACGACTTCAATGTTCTTACAGTGCACCGTACCCTCCCTCTCTCTGATTCCACATTTTTCCAAGTTATTATGAAATTAATGGGGAATGCAAGTGGAAAGCTGAGCTTAGATGAGGATGAGTGAATACACAGGGCTAACAACATACCAATGACAGCTCTGGAGTGAGCAGACATGCAGCTGACCAGAAAAGGCAAGCTCGATTAAGTCAGAAGCACAGTTAAGACTTAGCAAAACCTAACTGAATTCTCTTTAGCGCAAACATGGGGAGTGCTGATTTGACTATAGCATGTACAGACAATACATTTAAAATGGATATAATGGTGATGTAGAAATCACAAATTCTAACTATTACTTTCTGTACTTTTGAGGATGGGATCCGTGATTTAAAATCTTGCAGTAGAGGGGTTGGGGATTTGGCTCAGTGGTAGAGCGCTTGCCTAGCAAGCGCAAGGCCCTGGGTTCGGTCCTCAGCTCTGAAAAAAAAAGACAAAATAAAATCTTGCAGTAGAAACTGGATGTGGTAGCCCATGCCTTTAGTCCCAGCACTCAGGAGGCGCAAGCAGGCAGATCTCTGTGAGTTCAAGGCCAGCCTGGTCTACATATTGCGTTCCAGGCCAGCTGAGGGTACAGGAGACCCTGTCTCAAAAATACAAAAAAAAAAAAAAAAAAAAAAAAAAAAAAAAAAATCTTGCAGTACTTGGCCGCTGTTTGTTACTATGGTGCTGATGACAAATATTCCTGTCTCTTTCAGTTAACGAAAATGTTGAGGTATGTGACTACTGAAAACCCACCAGTTGTCCTGCAATCAAAGTAGAGCTTTAAGAAGATTATGTATCCTGAAGAATACGATACTTGGTGACCTGCCGTTCCACTCGAGCTCTGAGCTGGCTGGTGAGTGATGCTGTGGAGTTGAGCTTCACAGTCCCATGCGGTCAGTACTTCCAAGCCAAGTCAGGAATGCCATGTCTGCCACCTACAGATGCTGGATTCTGGCACTCACCTAGACTCTGTGCTTTGTTCACAGGAACATGACAAAAAGTGACATCTTGAAAATTTGCTTTTCCATTCCTAGTGCCACACGTACAGAAGAAATCCGGCTAGTAGAGGAAAGAGATTGCCCACTAGAAGCCAAAGTGTGGCTGCCAGGCTAGAAGAGCAGGAACAGAGATCTAGGGCAGAAAACAGAAGCCAGACAAACCAGTTGATTTTGCATAGGCATTTTTTTTTTTTTTTTTGGTCTTTTTGAGACAGGGTCTCCCTGTAGCCCCAGGTGCTGTCCTGGAGCTCATTATGGAGACCAGGCTGGCCTTGAACTCAGTATTCTTGTAAGTGAAAAAAATACAAATTTTTTCTTTAGTTTTTGTTTTTAAGGGATATCATGAAATAGTTTGATTTTTACATGGC